CTCTGAATATTGCATGCTTTCACAAATAATATTTGAAAGGGATGAATTTCTGAATTTACAATTTTGTCAAATAGCTCTCCCCCAGTAACAAACTCCAGAACTATATATATCTTTGTCTTGCTCCCCATCACCTGAAGAAAGAAAGAACAATTAGATAAACAATGAACCCCAAATAAGTACGTTCGGTTACGGTCATGATAACTGAGCTACAAAAGAAGCTTACATGAGCGTCTTTTGCAAATACTATATATAACAGATAATGAACTTGTCAAAAGACTAAATTGATAAATATCGAGAGAATTGTGCATATTCTCCCACACAGGAACCAGGACTCCATGCTACACAAATACACACACACACACACACATAGAGAGAGAGAGAGAGAGAGAGAGAGAGAGAGAGAGAGACCTCGTATATGCGCACAACATTGGGATGTTTGATCAATTTCATTGTTTCTATCTCCCGCTTAAGCTGCCAAATTAGTGCAAAAAGTTTGTTAGGGGTCATCGATAACCACAACTGAAGAAATTCATTTAACGGACAAAATTCAAGGTGAAAACAAGCATGACTGTCAATGATGAATAGATAATCAAGTTCTATGAAGGGGGGAATGAATAACATTTAACCTGTTCAGCCATTTTGTGCTTTAGGATAGTATCCTTGTCAAGGATCTTGATAGCCACATGTTGTCCATTCTCAGAATTTCTAGCAAATTTAACTTTTGCGTATGTTCCCTCGCCTATTGTCCTCCCAACCTCGTACTTTCCAATTCTCCGCTTAATTTTGGGTTGACTCATTCGCACAGGATTAATCGTTGGGTAAAAGTTGTAAATTCCTGAAGCAATTTCACCATGTTCAGGTATTTCATATTCTAGAACTATATTTTTATTTATCCCTAAAAAAGATAAATGAACAAACTGGACATATGCTGAGAGTAAGTGTTGATAAGTACTAAGGGTGTGTCAAAATCACAGGCTAATTCGGGTTATAATCTTATGCCACTCAAAAATGCTCATTGATTCACAATCAAACATTGTAAGAACCAAATTCGCTATTTGCACAAATCTTTTGTACTTCTTGTCTTTCATATAGTTATTATACTAAGATACCACATAAGTCAGATTTTTTACAAGATTTCTTATTCTTTTTATCATCAAACAACTCAAACATCATAAGATATGACAATGGGTTTCCATTATGCTTCTGGTAGCGGACAAATGTGATCGAGGCAACAAGCAAGCAGACACTTGGAGTCAAGGGAAAAGGAGCACCAAGTATTGTGAGAAAATGAGAACATGGAATTGAAGGGCATGAATAGCAAGCTCCATTAGAAGGAAGAAAACAGAAGAAAAGAAAAAACAAGCAATAAACTTTGAACATTGGCCTGGGGAAATCGAAATTCTTTTGTCTGTGTAAGTCAACTCGATGACAACTCCTAATCATAGTAAGAGACAAATATTAGAGTGATTATATCTAATTAATGAAATTAAACACTAAAAAAAACAGGGTATAAAACAATGAAGAACTAATCATGACCACATACGCGAGAGAGAGAGAGAGATCCCTGCAACCCTCCACAGACTACAAATTCAGCAAAGATATCGCAAGAACTAGAATCTACACTACAAAAGATCCGGAATTGAAATCCTGAAGAAAATTCTCAGCCTAATAATATTGAATCAGCAAGAAAGCACTAAACTTTTGAATCCAAACTCACACCAAATTCTATGGATCCCAAAAGGCCAGGTAACAGAACTCAATAAAGAATTCCAATTCCAAACAAAATACAGAATCATAGGAGGAACAAAAAAAGCCTCAAACTTTCGCATGCAAAGCACTTCAAATAAGTACAGAAATACACATAAAACTCTTGTGCTTGAACCCAACTTCCAAGAAAGTAAAGACTCACAGCAAATGTGGGAAAAAAGAAAAGGGGATAAAAGAGGATATACTTCGACTTGTGCTCGAGGCCAAATCAACCACGAAGTTTAATGGCGGCCCTTTATCTCTCAATGGGTCCAAAGATCGTCAAGATTTACACGAATAAATAT